AACCTGTCGTGTTCACTATGCTCCAAAATATGGGGCAATTCCATGGGTTGTTGATGGAAGACCCACACAAGCACCTTAGAAATTTCATAGAAGTGGCCAACACTTTTAGGAATCCTAAAATCTCGGAAGATGTGCTGAGATTGAAGCTCTTCCCTCATTCACTGGCTGATAAAGCCAAAGAGTGGTTGAACTCCCTTCCATCCAACTCCATAACTAATTGGCACACACTAGCTGAGAAATTTATCATGAAATTTTTCCCATCCAACAAGATAGTGCAAACTAGATGTGATATCACCAACTTCATGCAGAAGGATGGTGAGACCTTAGTGGATGTGTGGGAGAGGTTTAAAATCCTTCTTAAGCCTGAATACTCAAAACAGAGCCTTAGCAAATTCTACTGCTAATGGCATGTTTATGTCCATGTCCTTTAATCAAGCCTATGAGTTGTTGGAACAAATGACTCAAAATTATGCCCAATGGCCTGAAGAGAGAAATCAGTCAAGGAGAGTGACTGGTTTGCATGAGGTAGATCCTGTAAGAACCCTTTCAGCCAAGTTTGATGCACTGCCCACTTTAGTAAAAACCCAAGGACAAGCCATTGAGGCAAGGTTGTCTCAGTCTCAAGTTCCAATACCCCAACCTCAAGTCAATGCTGTGAACACAGGTGAAACTTGTGTTTTCTGTGGTGGACCCCATTTGTTTGGTAGCTGCCCATCCAACCCAGAATCTGTCTTTTATGCAGGGAACCAAAATAGGAACCAAAATAATTTTTCCACTAATTTTAATCAAGGATGGAGGCAGAACCAACAGCCTCAATATTTCCAAGGGCAAGGGCAGCAAGCTGGACCCTTTAATGCCCAAATCAGACCACCTTTTCCTCCCAAAACTTCCAACAACCCCCAAGGCAGCAAGCTGCTGCTCAGTCTTCAGCCTCATTTACTCAAAACCAAGTAGCTGAGATGCCTACCTCTTCAACCTTTTCCTTAGAGGCTTTGTTGAGGGAGTATTTGGTTAAGAATGAGACTAAGCAAAACAGCTTGGAAGCTATTGTGCAAAGTATTCCTGCATCTTTGAGGAATTTAGAATCCCAACTAAGCTGTTTAGCAAATACTTTGAATAGCAGACCACCTGGTACTTTGCCTAGTAACACTGAAGAGCCTAGGAGGAATAATGAGCAATGTCACATGATAGAGCTTAGGAATGACAGATCTGTGAATCAGCCAGAACCTGTGGTTAGACCTTCCACATTAAAAAAAAGAGAAGAGGAAAAAGTGCAGCAGGAAAAAGATAAAAATTCTGAACCTGTTCAGCCACATGTTGTCCATGACAGCCCCCAAGGGGCTGCAAATAGTGATCCTCTGCTTGTTCTGGTTGAACCAGAAATTCAGACCCCAATAAACCCATCTTTAGGGAATATTTCTATGGAAAAATCCATTCCAAAGGGTCAAGCATCTAAACCAAGTAGTGAGACACCTGTTGTCTCTAATAGACCTCCACCACCATTTCCTCAAAGGCTTCAAAAGCAGAAGCAAGATAACCAATTTAGGAAATTCCTTGACCTCTTAAAACAACTTCACATCAATATTCCATTTGTAGATGCATTAGAGCAGATGCCCACTTATGTGAAGTTCATGAAAGAGATACTTTTTAGGAAGAGGAGGTTGGAAGAGTTTGAAACAGTGGCTCTTACTCAAGAGAGTAGCAAATACTTGCTGAGCAAGTTGCCTCCCAAATTAGAAGACCCAGGCAGTTTTACAATCCTTTGCACCATAGGTGACCATTACATAGGCAGAGCACTATGTGACTTAGGTGTTAGCATTAATTTGATGCCCATGAGTGTCATTAAGAAGCTCAAAGTAGGAGAGCCTAGCCCCACAATTGTCACTTTACAATTGGCAGAAAAGTCCCTAGTATATCCTGAAGGTAAATTGGAAAATATTTTAGTCAAGGTAGATAAATTTATTCTACTTGCTGACTTCATAATTTTAGATTATGAGGAGGATAGGGAGGTGCCAATAATCTTGGGGAGAGCATTTTTAGCCACAGGTGGGGTTGTAATACATGTGAAAGAAGGTGAATTGACCATGAATGTAAATGGTGAGCAAATTAAGTTTAATATCTTAAAATCCATGAAGTACCCAAGAGAAATGGAAGAGTGTTCTAGGATAGATGTGATTGATGTTGCTGTCTAGAAAAATTTTATTAAGGCAGAATTAGTGAACCCATTAGAATCCACTGTTTGTGAGAGCTTGGAGGTTAGTATGAAAGATGTTAGAGGAATAAATCCATCCTATGGTATGCATAAGATCCTCCTGACTGACCCAAACAGCAGCTCTAGAGAACAGCAGAGAAGGTTGAACCCAATAATGAAGGAAGTTGTGAAGAAAGAGATCATGAAGTGGTGGGATACAGGGCGACTAGCTCTACCTTTTAATTCACAACTAAGGCTAATTCTTATGAAGCTAAAGTCTGGATGGTTAGGACCCTTTAAAGTTAAAATCTTTTTGCATGAAGTTGTGAAAATTTTGGATGAGGAAGATGGTAGAAAATTCAAGGTTGAGAAAAAAAGGGTCAAACACTACTGGGGAGATGATAGGGAGAAGGTTTCTTTCTTCCCAAGTGAGCCTGATTGAAAATGATCAAGCAAAGAAAGCAAAAAGTCTAGCTAAAGACTATAAACTAAGCATGTTAGACTTTTTTATTTTTCTTTTTTGTTGTGTGTTTTCTGTGACTCGTTTATTTCTTTTTTTGCTGCCTGTTATCTAAAAATTAGTTTAAATAGTTTGCAAAATAGTTTTTTTTTTTTTTAAAAAAAACAAAACAAAACAAAAAACGAAAAAGAAAAAGAAAAAAAGAGAGCATATGACATTGACACTTTCGTCACTCTTATTACAGGTGTTAAGTGCAGCCTTGGCTGAATTCTAGCAGAGGATCAGGTTGAGCAATTTCAAGCTAAGACAGCAGGTCCTCCTCCCCATCCTACCAAAAAGGAGATTACACCATCCACTTCAAGAAAAAGAGGAAGACTGCTAAATAGGGCCAGAACCTCTTCTGGTCCCAGGTTACTTGTTCCTAATTTTGTTACTCTTTTTCTTGGTAACCTGTTTCTGCAATAGTGAGGACACTGTTCATCTTGAGTTTGGGGGTGGTCAATGCTGATTGAAACTTTTGTTTGGCTATCTTTTGTTTTGTTTTGATGATTAATGGTTGTTTATCTTGTTTTTGGTGTGATGTTAGCTTTGTCTTTAGTTGCTGTTTTGGGATGAATAAAAAAAAATTCTCTTATTTCAAGACTTTGTGCATAAAATAGCAGTAGATGAATTCTGATTAAGGAGCTTGAATTTTTTAGAAAATGCTCAGCTGTCAGTAGTGTGGATATAGAATTGAGAGAAGAGTGTTTCAATGGCTAAGGGATGATATCAGGAAAAAAGTGATAATGTTAATGGACTAAGGCAGGGAAGAAAAATTGGATCAATAGGTGATTGAGATGGTAATTGAACACAGTGAGGATTTGGGCTTAAACAGATGATATTTTTTTGTTTCTTGAGAGATCTTCACTTGGGTAGATGAGGCAGAACTTGGCCTGATGCTTAAGTAAGTAAGTGTAACACTTGTTTAGGTTTGAAATGATAAGGGCATTCTGTTCATATAGCCTTGTTAATCCAAAATGCCATCCTGGAAATATTACCTTTGGAAACCCCTTTGTGCTTGAGCCTTGTTTTAGTGTAGCCACAATGAAACCCATCCATAGTCTCACCTTACCATGTAGTTGTGATGGAAAACAAGAAAGAAGAAAGAAAAAAATCATGAGGCAAGTTACTGTTAGCTGAAGAAAATTGTATAGTGCTGCTGAGAACTAAGTGATATTTTTCTGATGCAGTTGTTAAAAAAAAAATTTGAATAAAAATTTGTGAATAGAAGAAAAAGAAAAGGTACTCAGCAGTAGGAAAAGTAGCCACTAAGACTGATAGACCAATGCCTCTGATAAGTGCTGAATTTTTTCCATCACAATTACTTAGCCATCATTCCCACAGATACCCCACCTAAACCTCAGCCCAAATACAACCCTGGCAAGTCCCTTTGATTTAACCTTAACTTGTTGTTGCACTTAGGAAGCATGAGAATCTTGTCAAGGCTATTCCTAGTGAGGTATGGAGTGAAACAGATCCCTGAAACACTGAGTGGGAATGAGAGGAAAGTGAGCCATTATAACTGTTCTCAATTACTTGTTGTGGTGATTTTATTCCCTGTGGTTAAGAAGTGAAAAATCAAGATCTTCTCTGATTGTTATCCCATTAGGCATTGAGTACATGTTTGGATATGGATTTGCACACTGTTTATTGAGTGATTTTGATGAATTGAATGTTTACTCAAGCTGCTTGATTGGTTGATTCAATAACTGTTGTTTTCATGTACAAAGTTTGTGAATTTATGTCATGAGTTTAGTCATTGAACTTATCTTGAAAAATTTGTTTGATTGGAAATGAGGTTACTTGTGAGGATAAGATACATAATCATGCTTATTGTTTTGCTGATTGGAAGTGAATTTGTTCCTTGGGGACAAGCAACAATGTAAGTTTGGGGGTGTGATAAGTCCATGATTTGTGACTTAGAACATGTGGTTTGATGTTAAAATGGGAATGAAAAGGATATCTTTTGTTAATGAAAACCCCAAATATTGCATAAAAATGAAGGATTCTGATTTTGAGTGCTAATGGGCTGATATTATATGTTTCAGGCCCAATTGGTGTTAAATCTACAAGAAAAGAAGAACAGAAAGAAAAGCTTGGGTTGAGTTTAAAATACAAGTTATTAAAGGAAGAATGGGCCAGATGAAACAAAGCTGATCAAAACCCCAACTTGAAGAAAGAAGGAAACAAAATGAGAGAAGCCCAAGTCAGAAAAGAAAGAAAAGAAGGAAAAGGGAATGAGAAGCAAGAATCGACTCAGTAGCGTGGAAAGTGAAAGAAGAAAAAAAACCCTAGCACAGCAAACCGTCCAAGCAGACCCACCTCCATCTCAAGCCCTCCATCACAGTTCTTTCCTTGAATCGAACCAACAAACCGATACACCCTCTGATTTTCACTCAAGACACAGAACCCTAACCCTACTCACGGTTCATTTCTTAAATCGAACCAACAACAACACAAATCCTACCCGATTTTTGTGCGACACAGAAAAGTCCAAACAAGTCCCTTAATCGACTTGATGAGCTGGAGGTTGTTAGTAGTGGTAGCTAGAGATGCTTTTGTGGTGCGTTGCTAATCGTGCAAGGGACACCCACGATCGAGTGGAGCGAAGAGCATACGTATGTTTTGTGAGCACTGCTTCAGGGCTATCTGCTGTTGATAGTTCCTGCATTTTATTTTTGTTAGTTGTACGTTGTAATTTGTTGTTTTTATTTATGGACATTTGTTGTATGTTAGCTCTTCAACCTGTGGTGATGAGCTAACTTCCTTAAAGTTGGGTTGAAAGAGTACCCAGAACTCGTTTGTTATTAGTGATGTTTTGAAGTTTAAAGTGTTGATTCCAGTTTGTTTACTATGTGTTTCTATATGCTGAGTTTATTATGTGATGATCACACATAGGTTACTCCTAGTAGTGTGAGATTATTGGGAAATAACTCCCACTAGACCCCACTGTGAGCACATGGAAAGTGGAGAGAGATCTCTCTCAATGGGTATGGCTCCAGGGATGAAGTTACCCCCATGTAACTTGAGGAAATGGTACTTCAAGATCCTATGATAACAGTGACATAGGGATATGTCATTCTGTTGTTATTTGAAGAAAATTGTTGTTGGGAAAAATAGTTATTTTAGTATTTTCGTTAAGCTGGAAGCAATAACTATTTTCTGTCAAAGCATCCTAATGGCAAATGAGGGAAGGGGAAATTGACACCCAACTTGCCTCCAAATTCTGTTTTCAAAACCCATCTTTGTTATCCTTTTGTATTTTCGTCCAAATCTGAGTTAACTTTCTGTTTTTAAAACTTAAAAGAAAAGCATAAAATTTTTATAAAAGTTTTCCATTTACTTAATTTTACAATCAGTAAGTAAAGAGTCTTTCACCAACTAAAATCATCATTTCCAAAAAGAAAAAGAAACTTTTCTAAAAAATATTTTCAGTATACTTGAGTTAGAATAGCAGTAGTATTTAATTTGATTTTATATTATTTTTGGTTATGTTTAGCAATTACCAATTTATTCCAAGTTAAAACGCAAAAGATCATTGTGGGAACGATAACTGGGAACCATAAAAAGCCCTATATTACTTGTTGTTGCGTATACTCTTGCGCATACTTGCACAACTGTTAGCAAGGCAACATTATGTGACTGTATTTTGAGCTAACAGACTATTTTCTGAGTGAATGTTTGTCTGATTGATTGAGGGAAAGCAATTGCTTAAGTTTGGGGTATTTTGTTAGCACTAAATTATATATATACATATATATATATATATATATATATATTTATTGTATTATTTTATGTTATTTTAAATTTCTTTGGGTTGACAATTACAGGAAAATGGGCTGAAAGAATGTGAAATATGGCCCAATTCAAAATAAGGAAGTAACCAAGCCCAAGTGAATTTATTTTTACTGATAAGTGTAATTATTCAATTTTTTAGGAATTGCTTTTGAAGCAGCCACGTGGATCAAATTCAAGGAAGTGAGAACATATTTTCACCATTGGATGAACAAGAAGAGTAGACGGCTACTAGCTTTTAGAATTTTTAGTTTTTAGTTATTTTTGTGGGTTGTAAAACATATACAAATTTTCTAGATCTAGAATTTCAATCTTCGTTATTGCTTGTTTTTAGAAGACTCCGAGTGTTGAGAGATTGTGTTGAAGGCTGAATGCATTATTCTTCTTCTTGAGCTCGAAGTGCAGTGACAAAGTATCTTTGCCGGAAGGAAGAATCAATGGTGCATGCAAGTGAAGTTTAAATCTTTCTAGTCCTAGATAGTAATTGGTGCTTTTGATTTGTACGATTGACCTTGATCTCATTTCTTAATGCATGTTTCTTTTTCTTTAATCTTTGAATTGTTGTTTTTAAAAATGGATTTCTAATTCCTTTCTTTTTCTGGGTATTCAAAATGGTTGGGTGAAATTTCTTGATGTGCATTGTTATTGTTTCTTTCATCCTCATTCGTTTGGTACTTTTATCTTTTTAACTCAAGAACTCCATGGGAATGGGACTTGAGTATTTCAACAAAAGAAAATTGGGAAATGGACTTTTGTTAAGTGTTAAATGAACCCTTTTGGTTAGGAATAATTGAAGGTGTTTTCTGATATAAATTTCTATAAAGATTCAAGAAACTTTGAGAAAAGTCTTTCTTGAACCTTATTGTTGAACCTGGAAAGCTTCAGCTAAACTTGCCGTAGTAACTCAGAAACAGAGATAAAGATGCTATAGCAATGTACGAATTTGCAGGAATGCAAATAATTTTTGTTATCCATGATTTGAGATATACCGAGAAGCCCTTAACATTGATAAATTATTTCTTTACTTTTTAGATCAGATTTTAATAATTGATAAAGACTATCCAAAATTTCTTGTTATAAAAATAGAAAAACTTCAATTCAAGAATCCTTATTTCAGAAAAATAATTCAACTTGTTCCCTGAGAACGATAACTCTATCTTCAGAAAATTACTACCAACAAAATGGCCGTTGCCAGGGAACGATGTTTGATTTTATTTTCCTTTTGTGATTTTGTTTTAGAATTGTTAATTTTTTTTTTCCTTTTCTTCTTTTCTTTTTCACATATTTTTCTTGTTATCTGCTAACTCCAATTTCAAGTTCCTGATAGATTCTTGCAGAATTCAATTCTAATTACAATAACCAGCAGTATTACACATATTGCTGCTGAATTCTTGAAGATGGCAGAATCGAACAATGAATTTGTTAATGGAGAAAACGTCAATGGCAATGGGAATGGCAACATGCTCTAGTTGTGGTGGATGAAGAGCTTCCCATTGCTGAATATGCTATTCCATCACTTGATGGTGAGATTCCTGGCATAGTCCAGCCAGGAGTGGAAGGGAATTTTGATCTCAAACCAGGAATGATACAGCTGCTGCAATCCATGACTCAATATCATGGATTACCCAAGGAAGACCCCCACAAGCACATCACAAAATTCATGAAAATCTCCTATACTTTTGTTGTTCATGAAGAATCCACATAAGCTATTTCCTTTTTCTCTAGCTCGGGCAGCAGAAGAGTGGATCGAAGATCTGCCTGCGCAGTCCATCACCACGTGGAAGGAGCTTGGGGAAGCCTTCCTTATGCGGTTTTTCCCACCCACAAAGGTGTGTGATTTGAGGGATGACATCACAGGGTTTAGACAGTATGTTGATGAGTCAATCCATGAGAGCTAGACTAGGTTCAAGGGGTTAATCAGAAGGTGTCCTACACATGGTCTTCCTAAGTGGGCCACCATTCAAATTTTCTATAGAGGATTGAGTCACCAAGGTAAAACTCATTTGGATTCTACTGCCAATGTAGCAATTTTGTTGAAAAGGTATCCAGAGGCTTATGAGACACTTGAGAGAATAAGCCAGAACAGTTGCCAATGGCCAGAACAGAGAGATGAAGCTCCAAAGAAGGCAATTGGACTTTATGAGGTGAGTGAAGTCACTTCCATGGCAGCTGAGATGGCAGCATTGCATAACACTGTCAAAGTTTTAGTCAAGCAAATGGCCGAAACCAAATAGCAACCACCTGCCCAAGTAGCTGCAGCCACACCAATCTGCTCACTTTGTTATGGTTCCCATTTGTTTGAGGAGTGCCCAAGAAACCCTTCTTCAGCCTTCTATGTTGATGACTACAATAGAAACTACAATAATAGAGGGAATTACAACCAAGGTAGATGGCAGCAATAAGGTGGAAATTTTGGCCAAAATCAAGGCCAAAATTACCATCAAAATGTTGGAAATAGAAATCAACATCAGTCCTTCCAAGGAGGGCAGCAATCTTATCAGCCAAAAGATCCTTTTCCACCTAGTTTTGACTCACAAAATCCTAGAGATCAACAAAGGCAATCTAATGCAAAAAATCAACCTCCTCCAAATGACCAGTGGTCAAATCGAATGTTGCAAAATCATGAGGTCATGCTTCAAAGTCATGGAGCAATTTTAAAGAGCTTAGAGACACAAATGGGGCAGATTGCATCTTCCCTTAGCAATAGACCAGTGGGGACTCTTCCTAGTGATACTGAAGCACCAAGGAGAGATGGAAAGGAGTTTTGTAAAGCTCTCTATTTGAGAAATGGAAGAGAGGTTGAACAACCAGAGCATGTTATTAGGCCTTCTACATTGAGGAAGTTGGCAGAAAAAAAATGTTCAACCAATTGAAAAGGAAGAGCCTACTGTAATTGAAGTGCAAGATTCAGAAAGCGACAAGGAGCAAGGTGATTTGAGAAAAACAGAAAAATCAGCACCTAAATTAAAGGAGCCAGCCAAACCTATGCAGAAAAATGAAGTCATTCAACCAATATCAAAGGCAAGGCAGATTCCATTTCCACAAAGGTTCCAAAAACAAAACCAGGAGCAGCACTTCAAGAGGTTCTTAGACATCCTCAAGCAACTCCAGATCAACATTCCATTTGTGGAGGCCCTTCAAAACATGCCAAGCTACATCAAATTTATGAAGGCATCCTATCCAGTAAGAGGAGAATAGAGGAGTTTGAGACAGTGGCACTTACTAAAGAATGCAGCAGCATCCTCTCCAGCAAAGTACCTCCTAAGTTGGAGGATCCAGGTTTCGTTACGATTCCTTGTATTATAGGGGATAGGAATATTGGTAGAGCTTTATGTGATTTAGGCTGTAGCATTAATTTGATGCATGCTTCCATTTTTAAGCAACTAGAAATAAAATCTTCCCCCACCACATTAACTCTCCAACTAGCTGATAGGTCTATTGTATACCCTGAAGGAAAAGTTGAAAATATTTTGGTAAAGGTGGAAATATTTATTTTTCTTGCTGACTTCATAATCCTTGATTGTGAAGTTGATGAAAACATTCCTATTATAGTAGGAAGACCATTTTTAGCTATAGGGGGTGCAATGATAGATGTTAAAAAAGGAGAGTTAACAATAAGGGCAAATGATGACACTATGATCTTTAGTGTTTTTAAAGCCATGAGATTTGTGGATGATGAAGTTGATGATTGTTCTGCTATAACTATCATTAATCACTTGGTTGCTGCCCATGTTCAAGAAAATCTTGAAATTAGTGAATCTGCTATTTTCGAAATTAATGAGAATGCTGCATCTGAACATGATCAAACATGTGCATTCACGTCTTATCCTACTAAGTTCTTTGGTGATAAACATTTTGAGTCCCTTGGACTTCATGAAAGAATCACTAAACCTCTTAAACCATCCATTGTGGAACCACCTGGCGTGGAGTTGAAACAACTCCCAACCCACCTCAAATATGCTTTTCTGGGAAGAGATAACACCCTCCCAATAATTGTTGCATCTGCCCTCAAAAGCAATGAGGAAAATCAGCTGCTAAATGTGCTTAAAAATCACAAGAGATCCATTGGTTGGACCATGGCTGATATTAGAGGCATTAATTAGTCCTTCTTTCTATATGCACAGGATAAGGGTAATTGATGAAAATAACAGTTCTATTGAGCCTCAAAGAAGGCTCAATCCAACCATGAAAGAAGTGGTAAAAAAGGAAGTGATTAAATGGTTGGATGCTGGTGTGATATATCCCATTTGTGATAGTAGTTGGGTAAGTCCTTTGCACTGTGTCCCTAAAAAGGGAGGTATCACAGTTGTGCTCAATAAAAACAATGAGCTTATTCTAACTATAGGACCATAACCGGTTGGAGAATTTGTCAGGACTTTAGGAAATTAATGCAGCCACTAAAAAAGACCATTTCCCCTTACCCTTCATAGATCAAATGCTTGACAAGCTTGCTAGCCAAGAATACTTTTGTTTCATTGATGAGTATTCTGGTTACAACCAAATACCTTTAGCTCCAGAGGACCAACACAAACAATATTCACATGTCCATATGGCACATTTGCATTTAGGATAATGTCTTTTGGGCTTTGTAATGCCTCTGCCACCTTTCAAAGGTGCATGGCTGCCATTTTTAATGACATAATTGATGAGTATGTAAAGGTCTTCATGGATGACTTCTTTGTATTTGGAGACTCATTCGACAATTACTACCAACACAGGGCAAGTGAACCAATTTTTTTGCATATCGCTATTATAGTTAACTAGCCCTTAATCTGTTTAATTATCTTATGAAGATCTAGTATATTGAATTACATAATTAAGAGAGAGGTCCCGAAATGGGCCCTCCCACATTAGCGAACGGGGGCAGTAGTTGTATGGAGCTGGTACCAGGAACCCAATGAAGCTCATCATACCGTGAGTCCATGACAACAACATGGAGTGGCTGGCTGTGGCTAAATATGCAAATATGAAACTATCGAGTTCAATTTTCTAGTTTCACTTGGGCTACTGGTTTTCTTTTATAGTCATGGTAAATTATGTGGCTTGTCCTAAAATCTCAAAGAAAGAAGATAAAACTAATGAAATTATGCAATGTAATTTTTCATTTGAAAATAAAAATAAAAATAGCTATTTTGTTATTGAATTTGGTTATAGAATGTATGGGTTAATGATTTTATCTCAATTTAATATATTGAGAATTATATTGTGATTTAAATTGACATAAAATTTAACTAGATTCTTATCCAATAATTACGTTCTTTTTCCATAATATTTTTTTAATTCAAATCATTAAATCATAATAATTACTTGAACCTTTCTCTTTTTCTGCAAAAAGGGGGGAAATCGATTTTATGAAAGGAAATAATATTTATTTTCTTTCTCAATTTATAGCACCAAGAAAAGAATTTTCCATTTTATCATGTTCAGATTTTAAACTGAACATTCAGTTTATTATTAGTGCCTTTGATTTTCACATTGATATTTGAAAGGAACATGAGAGAAATACGGTAACGTTCATAAACTTCTCATTCAGATGAACATTCTTACACTTCCCCAAGTAAGATAACAAAAAAAGGAGAAAATATTTTCAATGTAAGACGAAAGTACTGTGTTACAAAAATTGTGTTAGTATATATGTATATGTCAGTCCTATCATCATGAGGTTAGCACCTATCCAAGCGAGAAGTGATATCGAAGAACACATCTTCTCTGCAAGGAATTGTGAGACCACCGAGTGGATGATCATACCCGAATTCTTCCTCAGCTTGGCTCAGCAAGTATTGAAATGAAGGTTGGTTCAAATATGATATGGGAATCACAAACCGCTTCATTTTCTCTCCAACATACACTGCAAGATAGCCCTTTGGCACGTCCACTACTTTCGAAGTTGCTTTGTTTGCAACAAATGATGCTCTTTTGATACCTGGTAAACGAAAACCCATTTTTGTATGAGACTTGAGAACAGAATGGTCTAAAAAAAAGGACTTGTACAAGTTTGTGAATTTTTAATGCTTCAGGATGTGAATGGTTTGTGTTGGTCCTGAATGCTGGCTGCAATGAATATATATAGATAAAAAGGATATCGTTGGCTACTTGAATGATTGGCGGAGGAGGAGTACTCATAGGAGCTACTGGGAGACAAGGGCATATAAGAGGTCACATGGTGTTGTCTTTGAGACTCTCTCAAGGATCACCACATTAATTATAAAAGATAATACAAGTCCCACCTTCTGAACCAAAGGCCAACACGTTACTCCACTTGACATAATAGAGGTAACTCCAGTTTTCGCACGGAATTTTCGTTGTTTCCCGTATTCCCTCCAACGATCCCTCCGTCCGCGCTGCCAGCGCAACCACCACCGTTCGGACCACCAGCTCCGATTGAGCCTCCATTACCAGTTGGACCTCCATTCGTTCCATTGGATTCTCCATTGGAACCTCCTAATCCCCCATTATCACCGGTTCGACCTCGATCCAGAATCATTCCATTAATAATCCTTCGCAGATCTTCTTGTACCGATTCGGATTGACGAAAACGGTGTTCGATTCCTTCCTGCAAACGTCTTGAACGTTCTTCGCTATTAGTGAACCATAGCGTAAGCTTTTCCTCCAACGTCGACAAACGATTTTCCATATTCCTCGTCAGTACCATATAATGCTCCCAGAATTGGAAGCTTTGATACCAATTGTAATGTTAACAGCAGAATTATCAATTGACATACAAATAAGAATGAAGAGATAAAGTTCTCTGTAATGCTCTTACTGGTATTGAAATAAAAGAAATAAAACGTCTGTTACAACTAGAGCAATTCGAAAGTGCTCTATTCTCTCCTTCTACTCACTTACTAACTCACTGACTGACTGAATGACCTCCTCTCCTCTCACTCATACTCATAACAACTTCCATTCCCCCACACACGTACTACACCCTTCCTTACCATAACTACCCATTCTTATCATAATCCCCTACCCCACATCAGCTGCCACATCATCCACACTAGCTTCTGCCACGTCAGCCAAAGATCCTCTACCAGCACGCCTACGGTACACCTTCATTGGCTTTGTTACATGATCAAACCAAAAAATAAGAATAAGGGGAAAAAATTAATCCGTTTGGATTTATACCTTATTTATTTCACTTCTTGCAAAAGCAAGCGTCCCATCCCCTCCACAAGCATCTTTGGTAAGGATTACCGAATCTACATCACTTGCCAATATGCAACCCCTTCCCATGGATTCAGAGTACCTGACCGAGTATTGTGGAGCATTACTAACTACTGCCAAAAAAACTCCTTTGCGAATGCATAACCATGACTACAGTAACACCTATACGAATTGGATAGAACAAATAATAGTAGTTATTTTCTAACATGCTAAGATTAGAGGCATTGAAATAAATTAAAAAAACATGATATTTGGAATGGAACCAGAGTTTCTCTGCAATACCAGTAGTATTAGTTGTGATGGTGATGATAAGCTTATAATAAAACCAGATTGCACATAGCTACTTCGAAAGAAAAGTGAAAGTTCTTACAAGTCACTCATTTTGGCATCATATTGACGAGCATCGAACTGTGACCCCTCAGGTGCAACTCCAGCCATGACTGCAAGACAAACAGAATTACTTAAGCCACACAATTTATTAAGAGAATCACACAAGTAAAGCTAAAGGTTCAAACAAAAATTAACATCAAAATCATCTCTAAACTTGTTATTTTTTAAATAGAGATCAAGATTCAAGGCCCCGTATGTAAAAATAGTACTCACCAAAGTAAGGAACCCTGGCAATAGTTTCAAGCACAAAAAACCTTGCATAATGTCTGTCGTTGTACAAAGAATCAATTATCTTTACGAAGGAAACCTGAAATTATAGTGAAGCTGAAACTAAGCAATGAACAAAAAAAAAAGATCATCCTTTTCCCCACAACAAAAAATGATCCGTTTTTTTATGAATAACAATCCCCAAAACTAGAATGGGTGATTCAAGAATACAGCCACGAACAAGCTCAGGATCAACTCTCACACAACTCCTTTCTTTTGTAAAATAGTTTCTACAGTTTCATGGACAATGACTTCTCTCAGCCAAATGCTCCCAAAATTCAAGCACGAAAGAGATAGATCATAGAGACAATAAAACTGTACATTCATCTTTCAATTCTTTCTAGCAACATTAGGAAGCTATAGAGGGATGGCACTAAAAAGCAGTAAGAAGTATCAAAAAAATCATTTCTCATACAGAGAAAACCCTGATCCATCTCTTTGATAACATAGGGCATTTTCCAAACGGGAAGCAAAATACCCGTCTCTTTCCATCAATTGAAACAAGACAGTAACAACCAACTTGAACCTTTAGCACCACACACTACTCATTGGTGTTATTTGGGATTTTGCCCTGTTTTGCAATGGAGATAAATCCTCACTTTGAATCTGGCTCCGCACTAAGATGGAAAATATAAGATAAATGGAGCAAACTAGCTGTGATGATTTTTACGTGCATGTTCTCAGAACAAAACTAAAAACTAATATCAAAGTAGATAGGAGACAACCACTAATATCAAAATATTAAATAGTATTATCACATGAATCATATTAGTTTAATACCATGCAATTCTCTTTTACTCAAATTAGTATTCCTTGATAGCTGTAAAAGAAATCAAAAAATACTAGATAGTCATTAGCATCTGTATAAAAAAAATATTGAATGAACCTTCCACAAACAGCCATATCAAAAAATATTTGCTCCTTTTTTAAACTAGTGGCATAATTTTAAAAAAATTGATGAAAAAAGGAACCTGGCCATAACTACGTTTCCAAGGCTCGCCCTCAGGTCATTATTTGAAGGGCATTCACAAATAAGCAGCTCTTGAAAACGATCCTCAATCCAATGTGTTTATTTACCAATTAATAGTTTAGTACAATCAATTCATCTTATATTGAAAGTGTTTAGATGTAAAAACCTCCAAGATCCAGTCCAGCAGCAATGGCACATCTATCAAAGAAGATGAAGCACAACTTGAGAGAATATTATCTTCAATGAACCCCATTAATCGGAGAGATGCAATACCACAATAAGTTGCACCTCCTGAGCCACTAAAACAAGTAATTTTGATAAATATAATCTAAGAAATAATAAACATTTTAAAAATGGATGAAGACCACCATTCAAAATGCATGCAAATAACTTAGGAAAACCAACAGGTCTGAACCAGAATTGTTATTCCATGGAGCATAAAATTTAAATTGAATGGAGCTTGAGCAGGTTGTTTTAACTACAAGTCTACGAGTATTACAATGGCCACCACAAGGATACAAAATAGCAGCCAACTGATTGGTTTACATGGATACTAGACTATGTCAATACTCAAGAGTCTAAAACAATGACAAGAGGAAATATCAATAATAAAAATGTTGAGGTCTGTTCAAAGAAGGCAATCCACAATCAATATTTTAATGAAAGATACTCTCATAAGTCAAAACCAATCTGTCCACCCAACCAAAGGGGAAGAAAGGAAAATATGCCTAGAGGCTAAAACTTTGCCCTCTTTAAATTAATATTTAACTGTAGGATTTCATGAAACAATCTTAAATCTCATGAAAATATTTAATGAACCTTCCACAAACAGCCATGTAATTTGGTTGTTTCACTGATCCATCTACATTGATTTTCCACCATGAGGAGGCAGTTTCTAGCAGAAATTATTAATATTTGAACCCAACTGATTGCGCCTCTGACAAATCCTCATTGCTGCTCTAATCTCTGCAATGAAAATAGAAATTACAATAATCGGGTTGGTTGGACGAGTGTAGTCAGCATTGTGAAGTAGAATTGTTATGCCATAACCAAAAGAACCAACAAGTTGTGATGAAATTACAATATAACTACGTTTTCAATCTATATTTGCTCCTTTTTAAACTAGTGGCATAATTTTAAAAAAAAATTGATGAAAAAAGGAACTGGCCATAACAGCTACAAGGGCTTTAAATTAAAACATGTATTTAGCGTAATGGTTTTTTTAATTATTTTTGTCAAACTTATGTTTTTTATTAAAAAAATAGTATTATTAACGAATTAGGTTTCAACATTCAAATCATGACAATTGATTTGATATTGGCCCAAAACCTTAAAATAATAAACGAACCGGTCCCGGCAGAGATGAACACGGCGAACGACGGTTCAGAATGAGAGCTCGCCGAGCACATGCCCTGGTGGTCATCCCAGACCATGACCTTGTTTGGAGGGAACTGAGGGAAAGATCAGCACCGACGAGTGCCATTATGTTATCGTGGAAGAGCATCTCGACGTGGCCGATTCCGCCGCCAGCGAAGTCGCGGTGGCTCCGGAAAGGGGTTGCAGTTGTAGACGTTGAAGCCTGCATCAGCGGCGGCAGTGAAGCAGGCATGGTTTTGGCTGAATGAGATTCGGAGGAGCGATGGGGAGATTCCCGTGAAGGGGTTTGAGTTTGAGATTGGGAAAGTATTGTGGAATGAAAATTGAAGATTTGGAATTGGTCGGGGAAAAAGGTAGGATTAGGGTTAGGGTCAGAGAGGACAAGGTGAAGAAGAGAAATAAAGAGTGTCCATTCAGAAATAGCAACACCAAGTCGAGAGAAAAAAAGGAAAAAGGGAAATGAGTGTTGTGAAAAAAGAAAATAAAAATAAAAATGAGATGCACTGATGGAATACTTAGCGTGGAGAGTGAGAAAAAAAAACTTTAACTAGCTTAGGGCAGCATGTAGGCTCGGTTTTTAAAACGGACAGCAAGACACCGACTCTGTATAGCGGTTTTCTTGTAGTGAATTGTGAGAGGGAATTATTTTTGTTATGTAAAAAAGTTATTATTTCCTACCCTTAAATTTTTCAAATGAGTCTCACAAGATATTTTTTTTCTTACCTTCAACTTTTTTCTTTTTCTTAACTATTGTTTCAGCATGAGATAATATTTCTTTTATGTAACATAAGAGAAGTATTACCTTGTGAAAAAGAAGTTTATTAGAAAGTATTTTGTTAAAAGTCTGCATCCATCTTAAGTTATCCATTCGCACAAATCTTTGCCCACTTTTATATGATTATTGTATTATTATTTTTTACCATTTATCATTGATATATTGTTTTTTCTCATATAATTCATGAAAGTAGGCGCTGCAATACTTGAAAACATTCCGGCCGCTTGAGTTTATATATATAGGAATAGATAAATGGAGTAAACGCATATTAATTAATTAAGTTTTGGACATATATATTATGCCAATTTATTAAGTGAAAGGAGAAAATTATTGTATTGAAATCAAGTCACACATGACCTGATAAGCAAACGTAGATATAAAGATAAGGCAGATATCACAGAGGGAAGTCACTGGCTTCCACGCTTTTCTCATGCAAGATCTTTTGCATCTTCTACACCTTTTTTCTCTACTAGTTGTTGATTCACGTCATCAACAACGCCGTTTGGCAGCCACTGGGATTGGGAACTAGCATTCCTGTAAATAGCATATAGCACCATCTGAACTAGCCCCAGAACAAAACCCAACGCATTTGGGAGCTGTATAAAATGGCCAAAAAAAAACGTTAATAGCTGATTATTAATTGATAATGTCGCTTTCTTATTAAACCAACTCAATGTAAAAGATACTTACAGCAATGCATATGTCCTTCAGCAAGAGACCATGTGTAAACCACATTGTGGCACTTAATGTCTGGAAAAATGACAAATTTATAGGCATAAATTGTACACTCTTTGTTCGAATAACCTGTGCCTGCATAGTGACACATAATAGGCAAATGATGTAATTAAGTCCCATATTGGTTAGGAATGAAGTAAGTAATGATCATGGGACCTATAAATCCAATCCTAAAGATTTGATAGTTGGCTACTTAGAAGCATTGAAGAATTTTTACTCACCACAATGCTTAGAGGTGCTGCAAAGACACTCACTGCTTTTGCGACACAAATCCATCCAAGGACTTGCACACGGAGGGAACCATGTAGAGCAAAATATGTGGTGCAGAAGATAAGGGCGAAGGAGACCACGGTCATCGCCACAAATAGTTTAATGGTTAAGATCTGCAATTAATTAAAAAGTTTAGTATAAACTTTCATGACAAATGTGATATATATATCAACATAGTTGGGGTTCATATATATACCCTGGCATCCTCAGGAGCATAGATTATGTACATGATAATGTAGATAATCTCTATGAAACATCCAGTTGAGTTAATTGAAAGAAGGAGAAAAGCATCTTTTTTGACAAACGCGTAGGATAACCATAGCACACAATTGAATAATGCCACCAAGTAAGGCAATGATTGGAAACCTTCAGTTGATTTCTTTTTGTATATTTTGTAAAACGTTGGCCTGCAATTCAGGAAAGGCAAAACACGGTGTTATGTTTAATGATTAAAATTTAAATAGGTCTTACATTCATTAGTTAAATGGAAGTATAACAATTAATTGGTATATATAATATACTTACAGCGGAGCCAAGAACACCATGAAGGAAGTGATGTTACCTAGACATCAAAAGGAGAATATGTTAATTTGTTTGCTTTAGAAAAATATAGCTATGATGATGACCATTGTGTGTTACCTAGTAAGCCAAAAGTAAAAGCCAAAGGATTGTTGATAGCCATCCTCTCTCTTCTTTTCCTCTTTAGATTGATTATAAGCAAAAACACTCAATGAGGATGTGTTAGCAACCGGTGCTATTTATATACAAGCCGACATAGAGAGAGAAAGAAATGAAATGAAATGAAATGGTACAGAAAAAAAAAACACACAAAAGTATTTGTGGTCCGCCCAATAAGAATGCAACATTTGGATTTTTAGGGGGGGAAATTTATTACGATCCCCGTATTTGTGGTCCGTCCAATAAGAATGCAACACTTGGATTTTTAGGGGGAAAAATTTGTTACGATCCTCGTATTTGTGGTCCGTCCAATAAGAATGCAACACTTGGATTTTTAGGGGGAAAAATTTGTTACGATCCTCGTATTTGTGGTCCGTCCAATAAGAATGCCACACTTGGATTTTTAGGGGGGAAAATTTGTTACGATCCCCGTATTTGTGGTCCGCCAAATAAGAATGCAACACTTGGATTTTTAGGGGGGAAAATTTGTTACGATCCCCGTATTTGTGGTTCGCCCAATAAGAATGCAACATTTGGATTTTTAGGGGGGAAAATTTCTAATGATCCTCGTATTTGTGGTCCGTCCAATAAGAATGCAACACTTGGGTTTTTAGGGGAAAAATTTATTATGATCCCCGTATTTGTGGTCCGCCCAATAAGAATGCAACACTTGGATTTTTAGGGGGGAAAATTTGTTACGATCCCCGTATTTGTGGTCCGTCCAATAAGAATGCAACACTTGGATTTTTAGGGGAAAAAATTTATTATGATCCTCGTATTTGTGGTCCGTCCAATAAGAATGCCACACTTGGATTTTTAGGGGGAAAAATTTGTTACGATCCCCGTATTTGTGGTCCGCCCAATAAGAATGCAACACTTGGATTTTTAGGGGGAAAAATTTGTTACGATCCCCGTATTTGTGGTCCGCCCAATAAGAATGCAACACTTGGATTTTTAGGGGGGAAAATTTGTTACGATCCCCGTATTTGTGGTCCTCCCAATAAGAATGCAACACTTGAATTTTTTATTTTTTTTTGTCTCCAATAGAGAGAGAGAAAGAAAAAAAAAGAAATGGTACAGAAAAATAAAGCACTTAAAAAAGGGAAAAGATAGTACAAAATGGAAAAATTTATTAAAATTTATTATGATCCTCGTATTTGTAGTCCTTCCAATAAGAATGCAACACTTGTATTTTTCTTTTTCTTTTTTTTTCTCTCCAATAGAGAGAGAAAGAAAAAAATGGTACAGAAAAAATAAAGCACACAAAAAGGGAAAAAGATAGCACAAAGTGAAAAAATTATTAAAATTTATTCTGATCCCCGTATTTGTGGTCCGCCCAATAAGAATGCAACACTTGGATTTTTAGGGGGAAAAAATTATTATGATCCTCGTATTTGTGGTCCGTCCAATAAGAATGCCACACTTGGATTTTTAGGGGAAAAATTTGTTACGATCCCCGTATTTGTGGTCTGTCCAATAAAAATGCAACACTTGGATTTTTATGGGGAAAAATTTGTTACGATCCCCGTATTTGTGGTCCTCCCAATAAGAATGCAACACTTGGATTTTTAGGGGGAAAAATTTGTTACGATCCCCGTATTTGTGGTCCTCCCAATAAGAATGCAACACTTGTATTTTTTTTTTCTTTTTTTCTCTCTCCCATAGAGAGAGAAAAAAAAATGGTACAGAAAAATTAAAGCACACAAAAAGGGGAAAAGATAGCATAAAGTGGAAAAATTTATTATGATCCCCGTATTTGTGGTCCTTCCAATAAGAATGCAACACTTGTATTTATTTTTTTTATTTTTCTTTTTTCTCTCTCCAATAGAGAGATAAAGAAAAAAAAATGGTAAAAAAAAAATACAGCACACAGAAAGGGGAAAAGATAGCACAAAATGGAAAAATTTATTATGATCCCCGTAATTGTGGTCCTTCCAATAAGAATATAACACTTGTATTTATTTTTTATTTTTATTTTTTTTATTTTTTTCTCTCTCCAATAGAGAGAAAGAAAAAAAAGAAAGAAATGGTACAGAAAAAATAAAGCACACAAAAAGGGGGAAAAAAGCACAAAGTGGAAAAATTTATTAAAAATTATTATGATCCTCGTATTTGTGGTCCTTCCAATAAGAATGCAACACTTGTATTTTTTTTAATATTTCTTTTTTCTCTCTCCAATAGAGAGATAAAGAAAAAAAATGGTAAAAAAAAAATAAAGCACATAAAAAGGGGAAAAGATAGCACAAAGTGGAAAAATTTATTATGATCCCCGTATTTGTGGTCTTTCCAATAAGAATACAACACTTGTATTTATTTTTTCTTTTATTCTCTCTCCAATAGAGAGAGAAAGAAAAAGAAAAGAAAAGAAATGGTACAGAAAAAATAAAGCACACAAAAAGGGGGAAAAAAGCACAAAGTGGAAAAATTTATGAAAAATTATTATGATCCTCGTATTTGTGGTCCTTCCAATAAGAATACAACACTTGTATTTATTTTTTCTTTATTTTTTTCTTTTTTTCTCTCTCCAATAGAGAGAAAGAAAAAGAAAAGAAAAGAAATGGTACAGAAAAATAATGCACACAAAAAGGGGAAAAGATAGCCCAAAGTGAAAAAATTTATTATGATCCCCGTATTTGTGGTCTTTCCAATAAGAATACAACACTTGTATTTATTTTTTCTTTTTTTCTCTCTCCAATAGAGAGAGAAAGAAAATGAAAAGAAAAGAAATGGTACAGAAAAAATAAAGCACACAAAAAGGGAAAAAGATAGCACAAAGTAGAAAAATTTATTATGATCCCCGTATTTGTGGTCCTTCCAATAAGAATGCAACACTTGTATTTATTTTTTCTTTTATTTTTCTTTTTTTCTCTCTCCAATAGAGAGAGAAAGAAAAAAAAAAGAAATGGTACAGAAAAAATAAAGCACACAAAAAGGGAAAAAGATAGCACAAAGTGGAAAAATTTATTATGATCCCCGTAATTGTGGTCCTTCCAAAAAGAA